GTCTCTCCGGTTATCTGCTGAATAACCGGCTCCTCCTCAACATCACTGCATACAGTGCTCAGCAGTCCACCTTCTATATCTCGAAGCTCGTTGTGGCGTTGTACCACAAAACCACCCCTCCTGCAAATCATCGCATGGTCAACGTCAAAAATATCTCCGCACACGCACGTTTTCTGTAAGTCGGAGATTTCTCAATTATACCTTATCTTGATGGCGTCTCTGAATTCTCGCTTGTTTAGATCGTATCCAACTCTTTTATTGGTATAACAGTTAGCCAGCTCGAAGCGCCTCTTTCGGACGCCAGCTCTAACGCTCTCAGAGATCTTGGGGTTAGATTGTTCTTAACCATCTCTTGTGTCACCTTTAGGAGCTCGTTTTTCTTAGCTAACCGTAATATATAGACCTCGTGTTATTAAACATTGATAAATAGGTTTGATATAGTCATGTCATTTATGCCAGGGAAAGAGCAAGTGCGCTCTGAAGTAGGCCAATATTTAATTTATTTTAATTGATTACTATTAATTTATTAACGACATTCATAGGGGGATCCCCTTGACGCGCCACTGATCACAGGCCGCTTTTATACGATGCCCATAATTTATAACGTTGCCTTTATTTGCAAACTTTCGCGTTCCGTTCTCATTTCTCGCAGTATAAACAATTCTTAAGAAGAATGGAACTATGGAGGTTGTTCTTGGCACTGTTAAACTAGGATGTGTTTATCGCAACTTTTCTTGCACTTTTTTAACATTTCTATTTATCTATTTTATTTTTTGCCACGTTGGAAAGTTATACTGACAGGAGATGTTACCCTAGGCAACGTCTCCTAGATTTACGCAAAGTAAAACAGAAAATAGAAAATTTGCGATCCTTTGTTTGCAGCAACGCTCCTACAAGACGATTGCGAGAGGAAGTCTTTGATATATCGCCCAAGGCAATTTTTAGCAAATTCAGTTCCGCATTATGTTAAAGGACTTGTTAATAAAACCTTGATTAGAGTTGTTCAAAGTTGTGACTCGCGGGAGAACTCGATCAAATGCACCCGATATATGGGCCAACCTTTAAGAAATATCATCCGAGGGAAAACTAAAAATTTAGGTTTTTCATAGAGGTCATAATGAGAACCATTCTTCGCTGGTTGATTGATTCACCAAAAAAGCGGACTTAGTAAACACTGGAATTTTTCCCACGTTCTGATTTTAAGCCAAGTTCATTGGGTCGGCAGTATGGCTTTTAACCTTGGATTAAAGGACGCTCTAAATTTCATTATATGGGCGCCGCTGTTATGCATGTATGGGCTTAATTAGACTCTAGTATGAGCAGATTGGACTAATTAGGTGGTCAAAGAGAACTAGTTACAAGGGTCGCGTAGCACTTAAAAAAGTGTGGAGGAGGGAAAGGGGGCATTTGTTTTAGTTTAGTGTTTTGTTCGGCTGTTTGACTTTCGTAATATACACCTATATAATCAGAGCCCTTTCAAAATTATCATGGATGTGAGTATACCAGATGGAATTTATGCCATTTTTTTCATATTAAGTTCCTTTTAGCCTCCCATCCAAGGTAATCGTAAAAAGGGTCCATACTTCGACATCGTATGTTGTTGTTGTTGCTGTGATTGCTGTTGTTGTTGATCCTGCTGTCGTTATTGTACGTTGTTGCTGCTGTCGTTATTGTACGTTATTGTAGTTGTCAATTGTTGCTGTTGATGTTGTAAGTGTACTCGTCCGTCTCGACTCTGTGGTCTTAGGTTCTGTTCCTGGACAGCATAAGATGATGAGGGTAAGTTTGTTAAGTTCCACCCCATTTTGACGTGGTTATCCTGGCGGGTAAGCTTAAAAAAGCTTAAATACTTCATTCTGTGAATTAGCCGTGCCCTAACTTAGATCAGCCCTGAGGTTGTTTCTATTTGGAGTATCATCTACGTACAAAATTGAAGAATTTGAAAGTTGTTGGTAATGTTGGTGGAAATGATTTTGTTTTTGTTGTTGTTTGTGATGTTGAGGAAAAGTCTAAACGGATTTTTCACCCCCCCCCCCCCAAGGCAAAATTCTGGAAACGCCCCTGTCCAGGCATACATTCGAGTGCCTGAAACAAACGGTTGCTTTACTGTCAAATGGCTTTCCTATAAACCAATCAATAAACAAGGAATATGCTAAATAATTTTACTGCGTTGTTATTGATCGAACGTTAACACGTGATTATATGTGCATAACAATATTGAATACCCCCCCCCCCCCCAACAAACATTATTGGCCGCTTTCGTTTAAAAAGTTATATCAATAGAATATGGTTATATTTTTTCAGTCTCTAGGCGACTTTAACAGTGAAAAATGACGTCTTGCATAAGCGCTGAATAAAGTTAATACTGTAGTTGTCATTCTTATAGTAGTTTAATTTAAAAAGAAAGGTTTTTGAAATCATTAGTTTGTTTCTATTGCTAAACATATACTTATTTCAATAGAGTTAGTCACCAAAAACCTAGAAAGCTGTGATCGCTAAGAATCATGGGGAAATGTTTTATATCCAAAAAGTAAAGCTTTTGACACAAACTGCAGTAGTTGAGGATACTCAGAGGAGGTTAACTTGTAACTGGTAGAAGATCTCAAGTCCGTCAACAGTTATCAAGCGGTTGAAACATGTAAAATGTATTTACCCATAATCCTTGTCGGTCTCAGCTTTGTAGCTTTTCAGGTGACTAACTTTATCGAAATAAGTGTATACGAATATTGCCAAAATGCACATTTACTGATTCATTTGTTTTTAATTAATTATAATTTGTAATTTGAAACATGTGGGCCCGATTGTGCGAGGCCTGGATAGCGCTATCCGATGGATAAATTATCCAGCGGATAAATTTATTGAATAACAGCATCGACTTATCCACTGGATAAGGATTTATCCGCCGGATAGCGCTATCCGGTAGGCTCCGCACAACCGGGGCTTGCTTAGTAAATATCATCATATTGTTTGGGCTTCCTGTGGTTTTGTTGCCACGTCATTCGGCGCCTTTTAATTTGCTTTCTTCTCTATCTCTTCGCTTTCGAATTTTCTTTACGCATTTTTACTCTTGTTTCCACCCAAATCTTCTTCCTCCCACGCAAAGTGTTTACTTAATTACGTTCAACACTTTCTTCTACCGTTCATTCATTTATTTTATTCAGTCTCTTATTTATTTTCAGTTTCATATTGCGCGATATGTTTTGTCCAACACACACCAAGCTAGAGCATCAGCCCAAATCAATCAAGGCGTTCTTCAAGCTCAATGATTGAACGACTACAAACAAGTGTCAATGCTAACTGCTAATTAAGCGCTTGAAGCGACAAGAAATGATACATCGCACTAATACGCAAGCGATTCAACTTGACAGTAAACTGTGACGATCAAGCGCTTTCATATTACCCCAACTATCCTCACATCAATCACTTGTTTGTTATAGCGCAACTTGAAGTATAGTAAAATTAACACTAAAATCAACAGGATCTAAGGCTGATTAATTATCTGAAACAGGCGTCCGGCGGCGATATCTGAAAACAAGTATCTCTAACCAATCACTGTCAAGGTAACAACCACGTGGTAATTGGTTTCCAGGGCAACTTGATATGTTCCTTCAAGATGCGTTCGCGCGTTTGGCTTTTATTTTCTTTGAAGTTTCTACCAGTTTCATTGTTTTATTTTTTTCCAATATGACAGTGTATGTAATCAGTTATAAGCTGTGTTTAGGAAGCTGCTTGTAAATTTGAATTACGTGCAGTGTTTATCTGTTAGAAAATAAGGGAAGTCGGATTTTAAACGGACAGGAAAGTCTAATAACCATCTAACGCTCTAATTTGATTAATCCCTCGTTATAATTAAAACGCTTACTTATAAGATATTTTGCTTCAAGAAAAATATGAAAAAATAATAATATAAACGAATAAACTTAAAAATTAAAAATATAAGAAAATAAATAAGAAAACAAATAAAATTTATATATATAGAAAGTATTACGAATAGAGAAAGGAAGCAAAGAAATTATAGACATAAATTTCTGAAGGAAAAAGAAATAGAGAAATAAATGTTCAGAAACTTGAACACTTCACCTTTAAACGTCCATGAACACACACACACACATGAATAGAAAAATAGGTAAGTGAAAAAAAGTTKTATATCGTAATTCTACTTTTTTTTTCCACTTTGTTTTTGGCTCAAAAAACAACTGAGAAAATTTAGGAATTTTTTTATTTGTTCTCGTGGTATGCATGTCTAACGTGGTTCTTGTATTTTTGTTTGTTTAGTCGACCAAAAAACTGTCCAAACGTGACTCAAAGAAAGAAAAATTGACCTGCGTGGTTGAAATTGCTATTGTACATTTGTACTGACTCGTTATTATGGAAAATAATGCCAATGACTACAATAATTTAATTCAAAACTTCGACTAAAAACATCAGTATTTTTTTWATTGATCGTTTTGTCTTAGTAGTTCAAACAAACACAGCTGATTAAATTTTACCATTTCTTAGCAATCGTTRCCGTCAGAAAAGATAAAACAATCCTGTGCTAACAACAATGAATTAAATAGTAACTGATTCCTATAACCTAATCTAATATAATCCTAAACACAGATCCATAATCTTTCCTTTTTCGGACAAGGGGTTACCATGGAAATTGATATCTTATGTTACGAATGAAAATTAATACTACGAATTAAAACTTTTCTTTTCATTAAACGAAACCTCTCGAACATCAATCGTCTCTTTAAGGTTATTCGAAGACCTTGACAGCCATAATATATTATTTAGTTCAGAGCAATTTTGTATGGACAGTTAGTAGCGTCCTTGATGAGCACATGGTGTCAGAATAAATGGTGTAACTAGGTGCTCAAGCACGCGCGTGACCGCCCTTCCCGCCATTTCATATCATCCTAGGCTGTGCGACTATAGACTAATAAAAATATTCAAATCTGAGTTCAAATTAAGACTAAAACTTACACGCATTTAAAACAACGTACCCTTTTCTGTACTAAAATCCGGCACTCATGGGTAAAAAGATTTTAGCTCATATTTGACTWATTTTTCCAACCGTTCATTTTTCGAATTTCTGGTCAGTGATATTATACAATATTGTGTTGTTACTTGTGGTGTAGGCACATGGCCCCCAAAATTATATGCAGAGAATTTTTGAAATTTAATATTTTTGAGTCGTTATAGGGTTTTCACATAAAATTAAAGCAATTATTTTTTATGAAAGAAAGAAAATTAAAACAAGAAAGGCTTCGAACGTTCCTTCTAGCTAYGAAGAAAGATAACCGTATTAGCTTGGAATTCGGTCGAGTAAAACTGTAGAAAAAAAGGYGAAAATTGGAAGCGCGTTTTTCAGCCAAGTCTGGAAAAAGAAAGGAAAAAAAAAGGAACTTAAAAATATTGAAGTCTGATTAGATGCATGTCCTTAAATTTTTGATTTAGGTTTACAGATCAGTGGTTTCAATGGCTCTCGTATCTGTATTATGATATATGGGATAAACAGYGATAACCAATGATATAAAAGTCGTATTCCTCTTGTAGGACTCGCGTAGGCCCATAAATCACTGTAAATCTAGCAAAAAGTCAYTCTGCTATCACATTTACTATAATTATAGTGGTTTTTATTATAAGATAACAAATGATCTAGTYTTTTTCAATAAGTTGACATATTCTTCGTTCTGTTCGTATAAGTACTTTTTATTTCGGGATTTTTTTATTTTTTATTTTTTTCAAATATAAAATGATAATCATTGCGTGCTTTTTGCCAATTCGTATTTGGGTACTCATTTTCGGTTCCCCGGCTCCTAAAAGTTTTCACTATAGTGGAAGTTTTRCAAAATTATCTTGGATAACATTTATGGTTAATATTAATTTCAATTATTTTCCACACTAATCGATAGAGTAAAACTTAGAGGTAAAACTTGTGATTGRAAAACAAATTGTTTCAATAGAATGGATATAGAAAAAATTAAACATTGGAATATTTTTCAATTGAATGATTCATGGATACTGATAGCTCCAATTTACCCAATACAATGAAATRCCGTGTAATGCCTCGAGCAATATATTCTTTAAAAAGAATTTGATACAATAAAAAACCATCAACATCAGTCAGTTATGTAAACATACCCGTCCACAGGCCAAACATCAGTACTTCATGCGATAAATAAAGTTATAGAAATTAGAGAACGAAGAAAAAATAAGAAACGACAATACTGATTTTCATGCTCAAAACAAGGGGGTAAATAGCGTTTCAGTTATCAATTCGCTCACCCGGAGAAGAACTCAGTTATTGCCTCACCACGATCATAAAGTAAGGGAAAATTGACCGTTAATTTTCAATTTTTTAATGAATATTTTATGAAACTAATGGAAAGACTGGTGTTATAAAGCAACGAATAACTGGTGGTTGTATTGACTAACTGTGAATAATAATAACTTTTATTTCTCTTTTGACTAGTAGACTTTATCAATCTATAMTTGCATTGCTCCGTAGAGAGACAACGCCGATTTGATAAACAGAATCATTTAGCTTGTATTTCGGCTTTTTTTCACTCATTGTTAGAGCGTTGTGACTCGATGGATGCGGTTGCCTCTCAGTACTGCCCAAGACAGAGCRAAGCACACGGCGAACTTCTGCCATTGTTACAATTGCAACGAGAAAGGTAGGTGAAAATTATCTGGCTAAATACATGGTTTATTGGCTTATTAAGCACAAGAAATTATGAAATAATCTGCTAATTTAAAGATATTCATAACAGCAAGGGCCTTTATTTTCATTTAATTATTATCATTTATGAAAACATACGCGAGAGTCTAACGATAATTGAACACGGTTGAGTCGATAACAAAAACTTTAATTACAAGATTTTGTCCAAAAATTGATCCAGTGGATTTTCTTTACTCTTTATGGATCTATTTTCGTTCACTTTTTTAAAAAAAAGCTCTCAAGCACGTGGGGTGTCCTCTTCTATTTCGTAGGTCATCCACGTGTATTGTCCGTAGCAACTGATAAAAGCCATATTTACGAAATACCAAATCAAAATTGGAAAATATACCACCCGCCAAAGCATAGGTATTGGGTTTTTAGCGTGCAGAGAAGCAATATATAATATTGTTTATTTGTTTTACATACAAGATAAACTCAGCACGAAAGCCCTCACGGCAATAAAGAACTACAGAAAATTTCAGTTCTAGGGAAAATAAGTTGCCAGGCTTGCTTTGTGTAGAAAAGCGCGCGAAAATGGACGGACGAGAAAAAAGTACCACGCGTGAAAACATTACCTAAAAGTTWATAAATTTGATCCAAATATTATAAATAAAAAACGAGCGAAATGTAAGTAATCATAGCTATCACCTATCAAAGATGCAAGAATTCTTACATGAGAGAATTTTYATATGAATTATAATTGAAAACTGTTTTAATTCATTTGATACCATTGTTTAGTTATCAACAGATTGAATTTTAATCGTTGCTCGTAACGTTATGTTGACAACAAGTTTTCCGCACAGAGATTAATTAAATTTGTCCAAACAGGTTTCATGGCAATTGGATTTGTTTTTCTCACCATGATACGCTTCATCTATGCAGTCTCATTACTTATGTGATAGAAMAAAAACGAGTTCTGATCAGGAGCTAAACTTCGTCGACCATAGCTAGCATTCATTGACTTCGCGCGACTATCACTTAAAATTGACTTAATTTTTTTCTTAAAAAAAAAAAAAAAAAGAAAGAAATAATAAAAAATCCCACACTTGATATTTAATAATACTTTCTTATAGAAAGATCCAATTAAGCTTTTATTTGTTTCTTATTTCAAAGAGTCAGTAAGTCATTTCTATCAATTCAAAAGATCCCGATAATTAAAATGTATCCAGGAAACTCAATTGCCACTTTTATATCTGAAGATACAGAGATCTATATCGCACAGTTTCGTTATTTGACAATTCAGTCAAACTCGCGGCTCAATATTAGTCAAACTGACGAGCAGTTTTGATCATCTACACAGGCTGGAGTCCAAGTTGTTTTCAAACAGACATATCTCACATTTAATTCATTTTTTATTACAGGCAGTTGTATTACACAAGTTTCCCCAAAGCCAGTGTTATTGACCGGTTTGTATTTGATCAGTTTTAATATTGCTATTTGTTTATTGGGCTCTCTTAGGTGATTAAAAAATCACCTCATTTAGCGATACACCTCTATGGCTTCGTTCAATATCCATTTGATTAGATTACAAACTAATTTGGACTTTTTTCCTAAGAGGAAATAGAGAGCGTATTTTTTCCAACTGATTGTAAAATGCAAATTTACCGTTGATATCAGGGCCTTGAAGATGTTCACAAGCGATAACTCGCTTTCTATACATTCAGACCGTTATCCCAGTAGAGTGTACTCCCACACTATTGAGGCGATGCAACTTTCCCACGTCAAAGGCCAACAGGTAAGCACAACTTMGACGAAGCCACAAGCATTTATCTCGCATATTTAGACTCAACCCCAAACGTTGGAATTAACTTTTAAAAAGATACACGTCACAGCCACCGGTATATAGACAATTTTGTATAAAAGGTATCGATAGTGTGATTTTGTTAAGAGTAAGCCGGTCCACATGAGTTAAGGCATCGAATCTTTGTCTTGTCCCAAGCCAAGTACCAATGAAAGTATATGATTTTGTTATGACTACACCAAAGAGTACGCGCGCAGTCCTAAGAGATAGCGTATTTCGCTTTTATTTTGTCTTATTATATCCCAATGTCAAATAAGACACATATTGATTTCGTCTCTTTTCCGTTGGTACCAAATTRAAAAAGTTTATTGCATCCGTGGACAACCGGTATATCAGCTCAAATATCATCGAATCAATAGATATAAATCCGAAGAAAATATATAAAGTAAAAATTATAGAAAATCTAAATCATTGGAATGAACTGGCTATCTTTAAAAACATTTTCTCCGCTTCAAAAAATGTGGAGTTAAATTTGATTAATTTTTTAAACGCGGTTTTTTGATAAAAGTAAATTGTTTAGGATTTGAAATCGAAATGTTTCATTTCCTATGTTTTGGACTTTTCTTGAGAAATTCAGTAGATTTTCACTGCGTAACTATATATAATTTTTTAATTTTCCCCGAGGGCGCAGACTAAAGAGCACAATTAAATACGTTAGAAAAAACTTTATTCATGACTTGAAACACCAGTTAAGCTACGAGTCCAATCTTTTAAAATTTTTATTAATTACGAATTTTCATCACTTCGACAACAAAATTGTCGCCCATGAAATGGAAAAAATCCCTCGCTATGGGAGGGGAAATCATTATTCATTGATGGCTCTGGCGCTTAAAATTTTACTGAGAGACTCCCCGAGAAGGCATAATCAAGTGTTCACCCTCGCTTCAAAAGCCCAATTATCAGAGTTATGAAAATATCAACCGATCTAGGACTTCCGATCGAGGGAAATTTTCGATTTTTTGGACTTACATCCCGTAGGAATCGGCGAGATTCTGTTTACGGACGTGAATTGATGAAATTAGCTAGTGAAAAAGGCCTTCTGAACTTGATAAAGCCTGGCTGATATACGGTTAAATTAATTAGAAGCTTTTGCCAGAATTGATTATATAGCAGCTGGAAGCTCGATCCATTTTCTTATTAAATCGTTAGTAATATAACACAGTTACCTACGTAATGAATTAATCGCGAAAAAAGTCGATTTTCACGCCGATGAAATAAAAAAATACTTAGAATTTCGACTTCGAGGAAATAGTTTTCTTCTGCTGGCTCACGAGCGCTTTTCTGAGGCTGCTATTGTGGGTTTAGTAATGGCCAATGTATGGGGCAAATGTATCTCTTACAATTCCCTCGGTTTGCCTAGGCTAGTAGCTGCATTGTTTTGGCAATAGATCTGTGGGCGTAAGAATTAGGGATCTTGAGCGTCCCACTGAATTCTTGCGCTAAGAAATCATGAGAAAAAAATGATATTACAATGCGAATGTTTTTAGTGAAATCATTATTCGATTTCGATAAGATTTTGGGCTGTGTTTTAATTTTCATTGGGACTTGTCTGCGCAAATTAATCATAACTTTGATAAAATAAAATTACTGATTAAATCCTTTCCAATACATAAAACGCTCATCACGTGATGTAATTTAATTGYTTTTCTCGGGATTGATTAATTATCCGAACGTCATTGGCTGATTAAAACCTAATAGAATCGTGCATATGATTGGTTGATATCTCGCCGGATCTTCGTAACAAAAAGTACAAATTTAATYGGGGAAGCGAGTGATTTTGAAAAGGATAGGTAATGAGAAATGTCCTTTGCTCCTAATTGTCTAAACTTTGTAATATCAGGAGGGATTCTTGGGGGAGTATCTCTAGGAGGGTTTTCATTGTTTTTTGTTTACCAATAAGATGGCGCGCTCTAGAGATAGAGCCTTGTATGTCGGATATTTGTAAGAGCACGTCAACGCGCATGTCTAGATCATTGATCTCAATGGAATGCCCCATCAAAGATCTGTCACTCGACATTTGAACCCCAACCGGGTTGAGATRTGTGTCCATCCACGAAATACATACCACCAAAGTCAACTTGGTTTTATTTAATTCTTGCAAGGTCTTAAGAGAAAAATCGGTCCCAAGTGAACAGAGTCTTGCGATGGAAAAGGGGCCCACAGAGCCGGAACACGGCAGTGTAAGTTCGCTCACTCTATTTCCACTGATTTGCATTTTCATTTGATAGCTCGGCTAATCTATTGATTAATCAAAATGGAGAGAGTGAGTGTATGGCTTATAGCCTCAGGTCGCGGGAGGTTTCTCGTAGTGATTTTCAAATAGAATGGCTGTTTTATCAGACAGGGGAGAAGGATGGATCCAAGGTACTTCTAGAACGAGATCGACAAGCTAGCAACCGTAGCTTTGCTATAGTAGAAAGTAGAATGGCTGAATTAGATGACATTCAACGATCAATGGAAGAGAGTGAAGATGTGAGTTTTGAAGAGCAAAAATACCGGCCAAGAAAGTCGTTAGGCTTCGATGGTGATCAGGAAAAACATTGCGATCCTCCGTCCTTCGTCCAAACTTCTCGAATCCCAAAGCAAGAGTCCCCTTCAGAATCAGAGCACGGCAGTTACCTCAATTCAAGCCCCAATGTAGACAGAATATCATCACACGAGTGGACGTTTGAGGAGCAATTTAAACAGGTAAGATATTCCTTTAATAGTTCTACGCAACTTTAACCCTTGGGTCGTGTATTYCTTATTTTGAACCCGTACATGTATAAAATTACTGGGGCAAACGATTTGGTGACACTATAATCTCATCGTACTAGCTTCGCACTAAACAAAAAAATTGTATAATTTGCGCTTCTCAAAATCACTTTAGCCTCGCTAGAGCTCAAGCGTAAAATTTTCTGTAAACTATAGTTTTTATGCTATCGTAATCATTGGGTTTCATTCGGACGGGTTCATGACATCGAAATAATAATAATCGCCAAGCGACTAAGATGTACATCTAATACGCAAATTCAACATATACCATTACGTGTATATGGCTTTCAAAATCACCTTCACATTATTAATATCAAAACCCATTGACACGGTCATCAAACGCCGGTATTTCTGGCGGCTATCCTTTTTAAAAAAGAGGAAACATTTAAAACTATAATGGAATTCTTGGATAGAATTAAATTGTACTCTGTCAAGGGTGTGGGGGGCCCGTTGAAAATCAATCAAGTATTTTTTCCTCACTAAAGTTTTTCTTGTTATTGTTGCAAATCCATTACGTTATACAAGGTTCGTATTGTTTGAAAGAAGTTTTCTCATTTGCATATTGAGTTTTTTTTTAAAATCAATCAATACTGTATTTTATTCAAAAGTTCGCTTTTCAGAGATCAAGTTTATTAAAAAAATAAAAGGTTTCTTCTCATTTTTCTATATTTGTATTTCCCATTAATTGATACTATCAGTGATTCTTTTTTTGATTTAACAAAAAATATTGTATTTTATAATTCTTTCTATTTGGTGGTGTATTTATATTCTACAAAGATACTACTCTTCCCATAGTAATATTCATATGGAAAATACATCAATATGAAAACTAAACTTGTTTTGTATTAATCTTTAATCAATTTGGATTCTGTTAATATTAGCTTTCCATGAACACAGAATAGGCAACTCAGATCCATTTGGATACAGGGGCTAATAAAAGATGTCAATCAACAACCAAATTGACATTTTTYCCCCAAAGATTTTTCAACGATTGTATTTTATTAATCAAAACTTCCATTACTATTTACATTGCCTAATGCTATTCCATGTTTCTCTTATTTGATCATGGTTTCTACGATTGAGGTCAAATAAGATCTTACAATCACGCCAGCTGATTTGTACATCGTACAAGTGGATATGCAATCCCAGATGTTTTTTGAATCAATAACAGTTTTCAAGTCCATTGTCAGTTGGAGACCCGAATTTTTTTCTCTTCGAAAAATTGAGCTATGGTTTTAGTGTCTCAATCCTTATTGTTTCAAATTTCTATTTATTTATTGATAGCTGTCAACTGCCAGCCAGTAAAATTGAAACCATACCTAAATTCATACATGTTTTCTGTATTCCCGATGAAAGGGTGATGTATTGACCACTTGAACTGGTATAGGTGGCTTTTTAGCGTTCGACCACTGTCTCAGTAACATAATCAATCCTACTATTGGGATTTCTGGTTTTCAATTAAGATGCATATGATTCCTTCCAGCCATCAATGAATCTCTTTAGATTAGTCAAGAATCAAGGAGCCTAGAGTTGTTATAAATAAAATCCTTAAAGTAATTCCAATATGGGCTACAGGCATAATATTTTCAAACATTTGACCTCAAAAAATATCAATTAGTTCTTTTTGTCATTTCGATTGTTTTGTAGCAATGTTTTTATCCTCTAAGGGATATTATTGCAATTTGCATTTCTTTTCAAAATGGTCTTAGAAATAAATTCAAGCATTATAAATAATAACTTCTAGTTTAAGTATTTAATTAAAAAAGGTCTACCGTGAGATCACTGAATTGATATGATGGACTCGAACAATATATAAAACTAGTAAGTATTTCAATTAAGGCTTTCATTCCAAAAATATATAATCACACATCTATCATATTGAATACACAATTCCAATTCAAGATCTAATCAAACCAAATCTCTAAATTCAGAGAAAACTTCCTGTTCATTAGAAATATTATCTATCTCATAAAGTAAATGTCACACTATTGGTAATAAGGTGAATAACTCACAGTTGATTTGATAGATTTAGTGTCTAATTCATTTAGGAAGCTTAAATGAAAATAATATTTCCTTGGGAAAAAATTTAGATTTTAGACTTTAGTTCCTGTGTTGTGTCGTAGTATCAAAAACAATCAATAAAAACACCTTTCATTTTTTGCTGAGGATATTTTATTTTCCCAAAATATTACCTTTAAAATATATATTTTTAACTTTATCAAATTAGTTATGTTTGGCTTCTGGATTTTCTATTATTATTTCATGGTAAATTTGCTTATCTGACCCAATATAAATGTGTTTTGATTGAGTTTTGTTAAAGCAAAGCACTAGAGATATGTGCAAACACACTGTGATTGCTGTAACTTTATCTTGAATCATAAATAATTGTATTACTCTGATGGGTCATGGTTTTAGCTGATAAACATTAAAAACTAAGTTTATTTTTCTTTGCAAAGTGGCTTCACCAATGTAAATACATTTTCTTTATTTTTCAACAAAGGAACAAATAGAACTTTTGTCATTTTTCTTTTCTAATTATTTGTATAATCACAGTATGGACTGTACATTCTCATGAAACTTAAATCTTTTTTTGATCTTGTGCCACAATCTACTATAACTTCATGATATACATGTCTGGGAAATAGATTTTCAAGGATATCTAATAATTTTTTTATGGGGATTAGCCAAATCTTGGTTTGAAATGAGATGCTATTAGTATCTGAGTTGTAAATTTTGATATTGGTGCTTTATGACAAACATTTATATATTTTTAGATTTATTGCTAGGCAAAAATGATTTGGTTGTTGAAAATTAACTACAGTACCATTGGAATTCGTATTGACTTTGCTTGCCTAAAATATGGCACCTCTTGTGAAAATAGCATGCCTTGTTCTAAAATTATCATTCTCTTTGTTGCTCTTCTTTATCTCTGTTTCCTATTTTTCAGAATTAATTTTTCAAGAGAATTAAGGATTATTGAAATTTTTGTCAAGTATCTTACACAGTTCTTGTTCAGTTAATGCCACTCCACCAAAGACATTTTGCTAATCTTCCAAAGTAGAAAAACCTATACATATACAATCAAAGATAGATCTTTCCATGCAATTCTTATGTAGGGTTTAAGTGTCTAGAGCCTCTAGTTGTCAAATTTGAACTAATTTCCTCAGGAATGCTGATGATACAGAACATAAGACCATTGACTTAAGAGCTTGGGCCAAATCTAAGGAGATTATACGACTATATTTACAAGCTTTATTTTTTGATAGGAAGTTAAGCCAAATTCATTTGGTTAATACTTTTATCTTCTAAATGTTTATGATTTTCTGGAGATATGAAAGATTCATTTGGTTCGGTCTTCAATCTTGTCTCCTAAGATCTGTGACAGGTAGCTAGCTCACTATGCTTCCAACATCGAGTTGATGGATTTCTCTCGATGTAATAATGAGAAATACCTTGCATCAATCATCCACACCAAAGTTAATAATCTAATTTTTTTCCAATGATTCATATTTCATTTTCATCAATTTTTATGTTATTTGAAAACAAGCAAACATATCCACTCTGCCAAAATTAAACCTTACAATGCTTAGTAGCATTTTTGATAATGCGTTTTAATATTTTTCCCCCGTGACACTGAAGTTAGAGTCATAAATATTAGTTAAAGACCATTCCCGTCCTTTCCAATCAATCTTTCTTTGACTTTACGATTCATAAATTTTGTCTCCCAACTTAAAACTTCAAGTACAGCCATTTATAAAATATCAATTGTCTGCATTAAAATACATTTTCGAAATAACCGTGAACGTTTCAATATTTTCAACGAAAAAAATGCATATCGACAGCCTACGTTTAGCGTAAAATTTAGAATCATTCGCTTTAGTGAACCAGAAAGTTAAACTGCAATATTTTTATCCTAGTATGGTTAGGATTCGTAGAGAAAATTCCATAAACGATGATAAATGAGAGCAATTTTTGAAAAGCGTATTTTTTTATTATGGAAAATTCCAGAAGTTACGAAATATTTTCAAATCGGGTTTTTTAAATTAATGAATTTCATCTCAAAATCTCTATTTCCTTAAATGTAATATCGACTAATTATCAAAAAAAAAAACATGCATATTAATCAAATTGCTAGATCTACAGAGGCACAGAATCGTTGTCTGTGATTTATGAACTTCCCTCGACGCTTTTCTTTTTCCATTAGTTTCCTCTCAATGTTAGTTTTCTTTAGCATTTCTTACTCGGAGCCACAAATTTATTTAGTTTTCAATACTTCTGTAAGTCCCTCCGGTATAATTAGCGTCCGTGTTTATGATTTATTTATACGCTGGAAATTTAATTGAATTTATTGTGCCAGAACATCTGACATTCAACATTTTAAGAAATCCCTCCATTAAGCGAGAAAGAGGGTATGAATGGAAAAATCTTTAATTTGTTTATTAATTTCGCAAGGATTTGGGAATTTGGAATGAGTGGCTAAAATAGCAAGTTTTTTATTCTTAAAAACACGTCAGCCTGAGCAGAAAAGATACTGGCTTGAATTGGACGTATTTGGTTTTAATTATCGAGTCAGAAAGATCATTAATAAGGCTATATTTCCTGTGTTTGCATTCCGTGTTAGCTTGGTAGTGACAGCTTTTGTTAATGTAGAATTTTTTGTTTATCAATTTTAATTGAAATAAGGTTGTTTAAATAGGTATACACTCGCTACAGGGAAAATAAAGGAGAAAAAGCGAAAGAGAGAGGAAAACGAGCTTTAATGTGGGACTCTCGTTTATAGTACTTAATTTTTCTTTCATTTTCTTAAATGAATATTCACTAAAAAAACAGAAAAAACTCGTATTCTTTTGACAATTGTACTGTTTTCTCTTCAAACTTAAAGATGTTATGTCAGCTAGCTTCAAAAGGATCACTTTTGGCAAACAAAATATCGCACGATTGTAAATCAATAATGCCACATTCTGCAAATACACGTATTATCGTCATTAATGTTGTTTGATAAAGGAGTTTCGTTCAGTTCCTTCATCAATTCTTATCAGGTTTTTCTCATTTCRTCTGACGCCATTCCTTTCTGTATTTTATTCGTATGTTTCATAGTCTCTCGCAGACATTTTGACTCCTTGTCTGCCAAGATAAAGGAAAAAGATTCCGAATTTCAGCTTGGGTTTTATTAGGCGTTGCCGTTTTTTTGGTTGTTAAAAATATTACTTTAGAGTTTTTGAGGAAGAGAATTTTTACTCTCGTAGTACGAGAAGGAAGGCTTTCTTTTTCTTTGGTAACAAAGCGCGCGAAAACTTGTTTGGCGGTACATTTATAGTAAATGTTTAATTGTTGGTCATTAAGGAACTCGCAGCTGTAAATGGAGGGATATATTCTGAAGTGCATTAAAATTTGATTCCTGTTTCACGGGGCAAACTAGTAAAATAAGCTATCTTATTATCACCGCTAGGTTCTAACATTTTTTCCTTACAAATGATTCAATGCTGCAAGTCCTTGATATTTTTTCTCACGGTTTTGCGTTACTTTACACCGCCTATTTCGCATATTACTTCTAGTTCAACAGGATTGGGAAATTTTTATCGCTGACCACAATCAGTTTTGCGTTTTTAGTGTAAAAAAATCGTTTTTTAATGCCGGTTCACCCTCAAAGCCACATAAAAATCCCAAATTAACCAGCGAGGAGAAAACCTCTTGATTTGAAGCTCTRAATATTGCCATATTAATCGGGTTTTCTTTCGATTTTTGGTTCGATTTAATTCTTTTAAACCAAGAGAGTCTAGATTATACGATATCACCGAGAAATAGATATCTTTTTTTCGATTTATAGTGAAGTTTGTTTATACTAAAGTACGAGAGAACATGGCTGTGAATTACAAATGGATCGACGACCAATCGATTGTTTGAAATTAAGCGAGCGAGTTCTCAGCTGTCTTTCGATTAAAGCGAATCACCTGTGTATCTTTGATTTTAATAATACTTGGACTTTGATAAGTGTTAGGGAATTACCATATGCAATGACTCAGATCAAATTGATGAAGATACTGACAAGGGCTGATAGTACAAGATAGCAGAATATAATCTGTCATTATTCAATGCTTGACAACCTTCAGGAAATTGCAAAAGAAAATCTTGGAAAATCTCTCCTTCTGAGTACTAGCTTGCTGAAACCGGAATCAAAATTTGGGCGTGTTATTCATCAGCATCAAAGTAAAAAAAAAAAATTTTTCGCGTAAACAATTTCAGGGGCTAGGATGAGGAGGGCGTGTGACGCGGTTTTTCATGCTACACGTTTTTGATATCAATTTTTTAAAACCCCTTTTTTGGTAAATCTTGTTTCTTCATAATCTAATACTGTGGGAAGCTTTCAAGGACTCTTGGCACTTGGAATTTTTTWTAGTAAATATGTTAGATGTACGCGATGAATAATTTATCGGCCAAACAGCTCGGTAAACTACATAATAAATTATCAAACTGGTTTTCATCATCAAAATCAATCCAAATCGTTCATGGTTATGATAAATTTAGAACTGCGGAATGTGACTACGTGTCTTTATTACGAAGAATTCATCTGGTATCGTCTGGAGTATCGCATTATAAGACCGAGGGTGCGGCCTTCTCTTTATATTTTCAGTAATTACTTAGGTAATTAATTTGAAGATTAATTCGACGGTTGAATGTAGTTCATCGCCGCCTATAGTCGGACACAGGAGTCCATGTTAGAGTCAAAACTATTGACCTTGCGATTTGTTTTCGTCTGTCGTTTTATTATAGTAGGTGAATAAAGTGATTTCTTTTAGAGTGGTTGTAGTTCAACTTTAGGGGTGGGTCCAACAAGAGAGAAATTTTGAACCTTCTGTTCGTGATGACCGGCGATTATCACTGAATCGATGAAAACCGCGTTTAATCGATCTAAATCTTAATAACGAGCTATATTCAGTCCCATGTTATTTCCAATAAATAAACGCTAAAGAGTAACACAGTGACGAACTTCGTGATGATTTTCGCTTTTTATAAGTCGTTATATTAAAATTATTAGTATTTTTATAATCGTTTTTCATGTTACTGGAGAAATTCTTTTCATGTTATTAATACATCATAAATCGAAGATTTCAAATGAGAATTAATTTTTAATTTTCTAATATGAATAACACCACCTGAATATGTTCTGGGTTTGATACTAGTTCCCGGCCCAGAGTCATTTTTCATTTGTCTCACTCCTTCATTTGAGGATTTTTTAAGGGATTTTCTGCTTTTTTTTTCTTTCGTAAAATCCAATATTTCCTATTCAGGGTTTGAAGAATCGAAAAAAAAAAAAGCAAAAGATAGCCCGCGTTGACATTTCTGTTTAAATTTCGTCAGTTTGCTTTCAAGTTCTGGCCTGATCCGGCACACATGTATCAAGCAATCTTGACAATTCGTAGTCTTATCAAAACTCCATGCAATTCAACTAGAATTTCTCGAGTAAACATTTGAGTTTCATCTCTTGTTTCTAACTATCGTAACCTTGATTTCATGATACCAACTCTCCTTTTTCAAAAGCTTTCATTTTTAAATCTTATATCTCTTTATTATTAAGTCTTCGACTTATTTATTCCTAATTACGAACGAAGATTTCTTCTTCTCATCGTTTTGTCATAAGTTTTGGTTTCTGATTGATGTAGTACGATCTTGCGTCTTTCAGGCATTTATATAGTAAGCAGTGTTTAACAAAATTAAGCATACGAATCCCAGCTGTTTTCCCAGACGTTTGTCTGTATGGTTTGGTTAATCGTGGCTTTTTTTTTTTCCTATAAAAAAAGCCTTTCTTTTTTGTTTAGATTCAAATAGATTTCTTTATAAGAGAGTCATTGATTTTTTTGATATGTTGGGCTCATTTTATCTACTTTTCGAGAAGGAAGTCTTCTCTCCATAAGAAGCAGACTGCGAAATCTTCCGACTGTTATCTTTAAATTTTGTACGAAGTTTTTCGATGTTAACCGCCAATAAATAYTGGGAAATTCATATTGCAAACGCAATGATTCTTAATAATTAATCTATGAATTTTACATCTCCGTGCCTTCTTGAAGTAAAGTTTTGTAAAACCTTAAAATGTCCTCGCTTGTTTGCAAATCAAAACTTTGTCTTTTTTCTCGACGCTCGAACAGATTTACTCGGTTTCTTTATCATTCGAAATTATGTAACTCCCAAAACTCTTCTCCCTTATTCAGCTAACCTACAATTTGTATAAAATTACCAACATTTGGGGATCAAGATGTTTCTAAGTAGCTGTGGTTTTCTGAGGTTTGGCGGGATGATTCCACAAGTGTGCGGACAGACTAAGTTTATAAAGTTTCGCCGCCATCATGTCGTTAGCATATTCCATTCACCTGATTTTCACCAAATTCACCAAATCTTTTCTTCTTTTTTTATTTAGCTGTACGAGTTGGGCGACGAAGTCGACAGAAAGGCATTCCTGGATGAGTTGTTTACCTTCATGCAGAAAAGAGGTAAGCTATTGGTTTGTTTCGTTTGTTAAGTTTATTCAGTTCACCAAAACACCGTGTCGCTTGGTCAAAAACGTCGTATGTTTGAAGAATTAGGTAATTTGACAAGGTCACTTGTTTTTCCAGTCTCGTTAGTAAAAAAGAGCAAAGAAAAAAAAAGAAAGGAAAAAATCCTGGTGTTTCGTTATTCTAGATTAAAAAGATGGTTTTGTATGTAACGCCCTTTCAGTATTAAAATCAATGAACAATGATAAATAGCGAAACCACGTTAAACCGCGCTAACTACAAAATAATGGTTTATCAATGAACTATTGAAGTGATTTGTAAACGAGTTTAAGTGTAAAAAATCATGTGTGATAGTAAAACATTTGTGTAATTATTGTGTGGACATGACAAAGACCACACCACATTAGAAAACTACATTGTCAAATGATCGAAAATTACCGAAGAAAAGGGCCTGCTACACGGTGTACAAGACTCCAAAATACCCGATGACAATTGAATAAATACTAAGACGATTTKTCCAAACTATTTCATTTTGTAAAAATGTATTGTGTACAGCAGTATTCGTTTTTTTCCCAGTCGCGTGGACTACTTTGCCAATATTTTTWAAATCACAAATTCCATCGTTTTTCAAGAAAGAAAAAAAAAAAGGAAAGAGAAAGAAAAAAGAGATAGTTTGAATGATATCTTCATGTCCACAATAAAAGTGGCAATTTTGAAATCAAAGTTTTATTCCTATTGTCTAATTTTTAAGTAAGAAACGAGTAAGGTAATACTGTTCAGGTTTCTTTTGAATACAAATGCTTTAATTTTCAAACGGATTTTGAACATGAAATCAGAAAAAAACATTTTGTTCAAAAATGTTCAAAATGGAACTTTGAAATAACACTGAAAGATGTACTCTATCGTATAATTTTGAGGAAAACTGCACGGAAAGATTTATGGTTTCAATCTAAAAGCTTCAATTTTCAAAGGAAATTTTCAAACAAAACGGTGGAATCAGAGAAAACCATTTGAATGTTATCTTCATGTTCACATTAAAAACTGTAGCAACTTTAAAATTGAAAAGTTCGGTACTTTCATAGTCTGGCTTTGAGAAAAACCAGAACTGAAGAGTTTACTGTTTCAAGATTTTCTTTTGAATCTAAACACTTCGATTTTCAAACGGAATTCTATATATGAAATCAGAGAAAACCATTTGAATGTTAACTTCATGTTCACATTAAAAATGGCAATTTTGGAATTATAAAGATGTATCTCATCGTCCAATTTTTAGGAAAACAAGAAATATTTACTATATCAAGTTATTTTAAAATCTAAACACTTAAATTTTCAAACGGAATTTTTAACGCGAAATCAGAGAAAACCATTTGAATGCTAACTCCCTGTTCACATTAAAAATCATTGCAATTTTGGAATTACAAAGATGTATTCTCATCGTCCAATTTGGAGTAAAACCAGAAAGATGTATTCTCATCGTCCAATTTGGAGGAAAACCAGAAAGATGTATTCTCATCGTCCAATTTGGAGGAAAACCAGAAAGATNAAAACCAGAAAGATGTATTCTCATCGTCCAATTTGGAGGAAAACCAGAAAGATGTATTCTCATCGTCCAATTTGGAGGAAAACCAGAAAGATTTACTCTTTCAATTTTTTTAAAGATCTAAACACTTCACTTTAATAACACGAAATCAGAGAAAACCATTCGAATGCGAATTTTCTCTGGAGTTTCAAGTCGGCCATGAACAAAGGCAAAATTTAAGCGAGTTCTTTTTTCTAGCATTAACCTAGATAACCTTGAATCGTTAACATAATAAGCCACCAAGGATTAATTGGCTTGTGCTATATTGGGAAAAGTTTTCATTTTCAATTTTGTTTTCTTTCCTCGGCRCACAGAAAAACAAGAGTTACGGACCCTAATTATAAGCGGGAGGAGGGGGACCTCCTAACGTCACGTAACAAAATAAGGTTGTTTTCAGTTTTGGACAGGAATTTTTTTCCGACTTTTAAAAATCGAGGAAAAAAAAAAAAACGATTAAACATTTAAAAAAATCAGAAAGATTCATGGCTGCATGGAAATCTCACAATTTTTCATTTTATACGGACACAGAGACGGGTGTGACGGTGAAATCAAGCGCTGAAGTTTGTTGGGAACTTAGCTTCGACAATACGAATTTATTTCTGTTATATTTGGAAAATTGGACTATTGTATTGGTTAACATACTGATGTGGGGGTTTGAGGCAGGGAGTTAACAAGAAATAAACATAATCTAACTAGTTTGATTAAGAGTATATATTATTTATTTTGTTTCGAGATCRAGATATGGGTTACTTTTTTGTTTTATTTCTTTTTTTAATAATTGTCCTTGCCGACTGATGTATCTCAAAATAGAATAGTTCAGTTGATAAAGAGTATCCTCACAAATTTTTTCGCCTTTGTTTTTGTTTTTTTTTTGTTTGTTTTCCACAGTCTCCACGAACGTACTTAACCTGGGTAACAAAAACCTACTGCTCACCCCCTCCCCCACCGCGGAAAATTGGTTAAAAGAGGGGGAGGGAGGTAGCTATCGGCTTCACAAAGGCTATCCTCCCTGCTGGCTTCAACTAATGACTATTTCATCAACTGAATAACGAATAAACTTTCTAAGAAGGCTTATTTATCTTACTTATGTTATGCAATAGATTAAATCTATTAATAATCATTGCTTTGTCGGAATGGACAGTTATTCGAGAAAGTTCTTTGTCCCAGTCACTGCTGATAGGGGGCAAGTAGAATTACGTTAATAGACCCCCCATCTCGTAGCTATGACTTGTTTGCCCACGCTTCTTAAGCCGCCAATTACGATGCTCGTCAAATTATCCAAAATACCAAACTGTGTTGTGTTTAGTTATCGACGACTTTAGGAATTTTTTGTTTGTTTTTGTTTTGAAGCRAAGATCATAGTACATGTACCGCCATTGTTTGTTTTCTTTCCTGCAACTTTTATATTCACTTCCAGGTGAAAAGGAAAAAATTAATATGGTTTATAGTTTTGAAGAGCCTTAAAGAATCTCTTTGTCGGTAACTAACAACCTTTCGTAAATTTTAGTCAAMCAAGCAAAAAAAGTTTTGAAGCAAAAATTTAGAATATGCTAATTCTTTCGGGTCTCTCAAAACCCTCTATACCGATTTTCATAACAGAACTTTAGCTTTGGCGAAATGTTTTCCCATTTCAGACCACGTTTTATTCCCTGAAGTATCATTTCTTTGTTTAATGGAAGAAGACACACGAATATGGAACGACTCAGACAAAGAATCTTATCCTATAATGGGAAAACATTACGCCCAAGCTAAGGTCTATTAAGCAACTAGTTATAGTTTTTGACTCCCGTCAATCAAATTTTCAAAGGTCTGATTTTATAGTCCTTTGATCGACGGACGCAAGAAAGCCAGACGTAATTTGAGCTAATTTGGTTGCTTAATTGGGAARAATTGTAGACTGCGAGCAGTCCCTCCGTGTCGATTGGCCGAGGAAGATAAGTGCCTGGGGGAGGGGGCTTTTGACTCTTAACCRATCTTCCTCGGCCAATCGACACGGACAGACAGACGAACAGTGACCAAGGGAAATAGAGGGACTGCCCGCAGTCTAGAAAAAATGGCGTTAAGTTTACATAGCTCATTCTTTTATTCCTAATCCACAGGCACGCCAGTAAACAGAGTACCGATTATGGCCAAACAGACGTTAGATTTGTATAAGTTGTTTCGCTTAGTTGTTGATAAAGGTGGCTTAGTAGAGGTACGTGTCTCGTTTATATTATAAATACTCCATTGGGCTCCCTGTGGCGTACTAATCTCTTGTTCCTAGTCTCCTATCTTACAAAACTTTCGACAGGAAACCCATAGGATAAGTTTGTATCCTAAGCACACACTTGATATAGTAGTTGTGGCTTAATAAAGGATGTATTTTTTATTTAAGTCCATGGATTACCCTGTGTTGTACTATGATATTGTTCCGGTGCCTTCCTATCAACAGGCAACCCATACACTTATTTCAATAAAGTTAGTCACCAAAAACCTAGAAAGCTGAGATCACTGAGCATCATGGGAAACTTTTCATATCAAAAAAGCATATATAAACAAAGCTTTTTAAATACAAACTGCAGCTCGATGATGCTCAGAAGAGGTGAGACTGTAACCGGTAAAAGATTCACAAGTCCATGAACAGTTATCAAGCGGTTGAACGTGTAAAATGAATCTACCCATAATCCTTGTCGGCCTCAGCTTTATAGCTTTTCAGGTGACTAACTTTATTGAAATAAGTGTATATATATTTGTTAATACTTGTTTTGGTCTGTTTTAGGTTATAAATAAAAAAATTTGGAGGGAAATCATAAAAGGTCTCAACCTTCCCGCGTCCGTTACTAGTGCAGCGTTTACATTACGAACACAGTAAGTAAAAGATTTTAATTAATAGAAATATTGTTCCTGTGATTTCCGAACTCTCGAACGACGGCGAGTAGAAAAGCAACTTAATAGAGCAGTAGTGGCAAGTGGTACTTCAATTCTAAAAGAAAAAGAAAAAACAAAGAAGAGAAGGAAGACAGAAAGTCAAAAAAGAATAGATAGTTAGATGGATGAATAGAATGAATAAATGGTTGGATAGATGGATGGCTGATGAATAAAGTGAAAAAAGAAAGAAAGAAAGAAAGAAAGAGAGAGAGAGAAAGAAAGAGAGAGAAAGAGAGAAAGAGAGAAAGAGAGAAAGAAAGAATGAGAGAAAGAAAGAATGAATGAAAGAATTATAGTTGAATGGTGAATGACTGACTGAATGAATGAATGAATACACAAGACATATTCAAAGGAATTTGAATTTCTTTTTAAATGGATGCAATCCAAAACATCTGGTGTAATCTGATTTTTACGTGCAATATTAATGCCATACAACCACAGCGGTCACAACACCAACACCAACCCGGCATCACTTACTCACTCACTCACTCACTCACTCACTCACTCACTCACTCACTCACTCACTCACTCACTCACTCACTCACTCACTCAGGATCCTATTTTCAATTCTCTTCCAGGTACATGAAGTATTTGTACCCTTACGAGTGTTTCAAACGAAAGCTTTCCTCGCCTTCGGAATTACAATCCGCCATAGATGGTAATAGACGAGACAGTAGACGGACGTACGGGGCATTTGGTTCCCCTGGAGGTTCCATAGATGGCGGGTACGGGAGAGGGAGCCCGCCTTCAGTTTCGATGGGATATACTAATCATTCTCCTGTACTCAGACCCAGTCCAGGACCTTCGCCTACCGGGGATGAGGTATGTACGATATTCACCTCGTGGAGCATGGGATTGTGGGAACAAATGGGCGGGGGTCGCCGGGTGCCGGAACTTTGTGTTGGTGTCATTACCAGATTCTTATGCGCAATAGGTTCGAACCTTAGAAAGTGAAACAGACGCTCAGCTTTATCTTACCAGATTCTTATGCGCAATAGGTTCGAACCTTAGAAAAGGAAACACACCCTCAGCTTTATCTTACCAGACTCTTATGTGCAATAGGTTCGAACCTTAGAAAAAGAAACACACCCTCAGCTTTATTTTCACATTTCAGACCACTTTCTATTCTCTTGAGTATTATTTCTTTGTTTACTAGTAAAGCTTAAGAAGATACTTCATAATTTTATGGATGAGTTAAATAAAATAATTTTATTCTCAAGGAATAGACCAGTTTCGTATTCGATGAATACCGCTGTTATTAAGACCACAAACTCATTTGCACAAGCTTAGCCTCGTTTATAAGTCAGCGCTTCACAGACACCATTAAAAGTCTGTGGGATTTCAATGCATTGGTATTGTTCAACTTGCACATTCTCTACATTTCAGTTGACTTTTACAAATYATTTACTCGTAAATGAAGCTAAGCCTGCGTAGATGAGTTTTTAGTCATAAAACACAGCGGTGGCAAAATGGCAAAATAAAGAAGCTTCCTTCCTTCCTTCCTTCCGGTATTTACCGAATAGAAAAAGGGACTAAAACATGTCAGTAATGAGAAAACAGAGATTCGGTCTATATTCGRGTACCTAGTCTCTAAGAGATTCGAGTCAAAAGTCGTAGCTTCGCCTATATGACATATTCAACTCAGGACTAGCCTACGCGTACGATTAAAGAATTTCAAGATTTACTTGGTAGGAAAARGGGGGGCACGGATAAAATTTTTATCAGAAAAATGGGGGGATGCACGATTTTTGGAAGAATCTACAAGCCTTGCTT